ATTCGTCACTCCTTGCTGCTTTCCTAGAACCTGGACTTGAGAATAACTTCGTGAGAGTTGGAGGGGGTAGTGGGGCCGTGAAACATTCTCAGCATGGAGGGCTGTGCCCTGCAGGCTGTGATGAGCCACACCCAGCGAAGGAAGCAAAGCGGGGGGATGCTGGTTTGAGTCAATGCATGAAAGATTTGAAGAAGGACCACAATTTCTTTACGACACGCTGAGTGTAGTCATTTCTAGCCGTGCCTTTATGCGGTTCATGTATTTTGCCCACATTGGTCATATCTTGGGAATACTGTTGGAGCACTGTTAGATCTGATATAGCACCACATTTGGATATAACTGACCTTTCACCGGTCATACTTGGTCCTTGGGTGGTGGTTTTTGCCACCTTGAGCAATAATCTCCAGGTACTGGTCTCTTTCTGTAGATCAGAGCAGCATTCTGTGTGTGAGTAAAGAGTACTCCTGCTGGAGGCTCTGAGCTCTAATTTGATCTAGTGGGAAATGTAGAGACCCAAGTACCGGAAATAAGAACGGGCAAGCCTCTGTGAGGTTTGGCGGAACGTTTTGTAGGGTGGTACACAGGAATCCAAGTTACAGATCTTATGTGAAGTTTTGATTAAAAGTAAATAATCAAGAACCAGACCACTGTTCTTGACTTTAAACAGTTAAGTTTCCTCTTAAATATTAGGAATGAACGTAGCTATGATATGGTAAAATTTTAAACTTCAACCCCTTCTTTTCCTTTTTTGCATCTTTCTTAACTCATTTAGGTATTAGAGTGTATTAGTTCACATATTTATAAAATGTTACTCTTTGTAAGATGTTACTTCCACTGCCTTTCAAGTCCCTGAGCGTTGTATTGCAAGAGGAACAAAGAGCAGAATGTGAAAAAATGGCCCAATTTGATGTTTTCAAAAATTACAGCAGATAAGTCCTGCTTTTTGATAGTAAAGGTTGATCTCCTTTTTTTACAGCTGTGGTCTCCTTGTGGGACAGGGTTTGACTGCCTGAAAGCTAAAAAGACGTTTTTAGACAAAACATATAACTTAAGTAAATTAATTCACCTGGTTCTATAGTTAAGAAATTCAGAACTGTATCACATACCATAAACGTATATATATTCATTGTTTTAGTACTTAAATTATATATGAATAATTTGCTATTTTCAGTTTTTTATTTCATTAGTTTTCTGCTGGTTATTCTGTACCATTTAAAAGTCCTTATATTTATACAATAGAACAGTCCTCTTTGTAAAATTCTAGCATGTTTTCCCCTATATAGTACTACTGTACTTATAAAGACAAAAGTATTTTGCTAAAACTTACTAAAATTTATACATGGTATTCTTCATGTGCTTAAATAATACCTTTTAAATTGACAAACTTGTGAATGCTACACTGAAATAGAGTAGAACTATCTCTGAAAGCTTTATTGGAGAATTGCTGCGTATGAACACACATTTGGAGTTCCATGGGGTCTAGTTTTGGTGCAACAGGTGTCCTCTTGACTGGGATTTTTTTCTAGCCACTTCTGCCGGCACACTGTCTACCCACAAGCGACAGTGCCAGCAGGGGCACCAACAGAGACAGTTTAATCCCTGCTTAGGGGTACCCAGAAGGCAGAGCTTTGCTTCATGTGTTCCTTTGTATTAAGGTGATTGTGTGCTCACGTATTCAGTCACTGCCTCCCGCCCCTCCACCATGAGTAGGCATGTTGGCCTAAACCCAGTAATAATGTCTGCTCTCGAGCTCTGTCAGACAGTTGCAAAGACACCCAAGAAAGATTAGTTGGAATATTCTCTCTCGGATTATTTATTTATTCTCAGTAGTAGAATATTAATAGTGTCACATGGATGCCTTTGGAAACTTGGTAAGGGCCGGGAACGCATTTGTCATTTTGTATTGTGGTTTAAGATCCAAAACAACGGCTTAAGATAGAGGTTTACTTTTTACCAGTGGGAAAGTCCCAGGGCTTGCATCCCAGGGCTGGTATGGTAGCTCTGTTAGTAAGAGGATCTCTGAATCCTTTTGCCTTTTTGCTTTGCCTCTTTTAGCAGGTGAGCTACCATCCTTAAGGTTGCCTCAACGTCATCAGTAGCTGCTGAAGCTCCAGCCATCTTCACCAAGTTATTGGCAGCAGGGAGGAGAAAGAGGCAAGGGGGTAACTCAGCCTCCTAGGCAGCTTTCCTGGAAGCCCCATTCAGCATTTTTTACCTCTGTTACGTTAGCCACTCCTACTTGGAAGCGAGTCTAGGAAATGCAGGTTTATAGCTGGAGTATTGCTGTTCCCGACTGTGGGGTTTGGCTATCAAGGAGGGGCAAGTGGACTTTGGGGAAGCAGCTCTCAGTTTCTGCCACACCTTCTGATGTATATATCCTTCTGGCACATGTTCACCAAGTCGTATGCTCTGGTGTATGTTTCCTGACTTACGCATATTATAAGGAGTGAAACTCAGAGGAAATATTTATAAGGAATTCTTTCTAGGCTCTGTACAAATGCGAAATGTGTAACTTGGAGTATTGGTCCTCAGTCCTAAGAAATGCTGCACCCCCATTGTTTAACTGAAATTTTAGGGTACCTGCTCAAATAAAATGTATGGGTAATTATTTTCAGAAAATATTTATATTTGTATATATAAATTACTTATATGCTGCAATATGAATGAGAGACAAAAAGTGATTTATGATAAAATGTGTTTCAGTCTATAAATGCCTAAGTACATGCAAAATGGAGGAGAAAACAATTAGATATTCAGGTGCTTGCAATATATATAAAACCATTGTGAATATGGCAACTACAAATGCAGACTGGACATGTGTTATATTAATACTTGTGACTCAAATACTGAGAATGGTATTAATTGTGCTGGTATTTTAAAACGGTAAGCAACTCTTGTAAAGTTTCAAAGAAGACCAAGCACTGCCTTCCTTTGATTAATATGGTTAACTGCATTCCTGGAAAAATCAGTGTATATTGGAGTAGGTGAAAAAAAGAAAAAGGAAAAAAAAAAAAAACCTCCATGTTTATATGTCAAATAGAGCCTAACTCACATTATTACAAAAAGCAGGATGATTTTGAGGTAGTATCCTGCCTCTGTGAATCTGTCACAATAAGTCCCTTCCCCCAAGTCAGTCACTGTGCCTCCCCTCCCCCAAATCATTGTATCAAAAGTGCCCAGGCAAGTTTCAGTGACTCTTGGGGGCAACTCCCTGCTTTGGAAGACTTGCATTTCCTCTGTTTTTGTTTGTACAGGTGCCTGACACAACTGCTGCGGTTCAGTTGGTTCCTTTCTTCCCCCTGTTCTCTTTGGTTATGTCAGCTTGGTTGGTTTCTGCTTCAGTTTTTCTAACTTGATGTATTAGATCAGTTTTAATCTACAAAGGCTGGTAGCCAGCCTTCCTAAGGAAGTCAGCACTTCGAACAAAGGTCTCCGAATCAGGCATTAGGAAACAAACGTGTTGCATTCTAGCAAGATTTAAAGTTGTAAGAGGATTAAAGGAAGAGATTAGAAAAATCCACAGGCCTCTCATTTGCCACCAGTTTTTGGTTGCTAAAGGCTTCCCTTGGCCTGTCCCATTCACCCAGTGCCCCCCTCTCCACTGTCGTAAGGGTTTGCCCCTGAACGCTGTCTGCGTCTGTTAACAAGCCTCCCTTTCGGGACTTCCCTGGTGGCACAGTGGTAAAGAATCCGCCTGCCAATGCAGGGGACATGGGTTCGAGCCCTGGTCTGGGAAGATCCCACATGCCGCGGAGCAGCTAAGCCCGTGTGCCACAACTACTGAGCCTGAGCTCTAGAGCCCTCAAGCCACAACTACTGAGCCCGCGTGCCACAACTACTGAAGCCCATGTGCCTAGAGCCCGTGCTCTGTGGCAGTAGAAGCCACCGCAATGAGAAGCCTGCGCACCGCAACGAAGAGTAGCCCCCGCTCACCGCAACTAGAGAAAGCCCGCTCGCAGCAACGAAGACCCAACACAGCCAAAAATAAATAAACTAATAAATTTATTTTTTAAAAAAACAAGGCTCCGTTTCACTCCTCCTTTCCGTAGAAACCCAAGGAGGCTTTCAGATTTGGAAGGATCTGAGCAGGATCCTGGTCATGAGGACTGGCTTAGGGAACACCCTGAACCACACGCACAGCCCAGCTACATAATGTGCATCACGTCCTTCTTTTTGTCCAATCGGATCCTATAGTTTCTCCCACATCTGGCATAATCAATATGTTTAAATGTAAAAAATACATAATGCTTTTCTTTCCATATTCTACCCTCACCTTTTCTTACTTTTTCTGGTTAGTCTGATTGCTTTCATTTAATTGCACTTTGATAGTTAACTGCTGTAATACAGCACTGAAATCTCCTTTAAGAAATGATGGCATTTTAATTAAAATTGCTTCTTCTAAGTTCATGAACCAAATAAAATGGCACTTTTTAATTTTCTTTTTTCTTTTGTGAGGTAAAATTGCTATCCAACTGTGTCAGAAAGTGAAGGTACATATTCTTTGCCTGGTGCTAGATTATTGATTGCTTTTCAAGTGAGCTTTCAGATTCAGCATTAAAATTTTGCTCCATCGTGGTTGTTGTATTCTCGCTAACATAACTCAAGAAAAGTCTTACTTTTAAATTTTAATTTGCAGATATCGCAGCAATGAAATTTTAAGTCAGCGCCTATGTCATTTAAGGCAAAATACCGTGTTTATTTATTAAGACTAGCATCTGATACGGTGTTCGTGATGATGAATGTTCTTTTAAGTCCGTGTTTTACCGTATTTGGTTTTGTGATGTAATTGAATAACTGTTGGATTTGTTTTCAATTTTATTTTGTTCTTTATATAATATGCCTTTGAATGAAACTGCGGTTTATGTCTGTGTGTGTGTGAGCACGTGTCTGTGCAAGTGTGCACACACGCACTGGAGGACAGGTTCTGCAGCATGGCCTGGGCAAAGCCTTGGGTCCGGAAGAGTTGCTGGTTTATAATCGCTCGTCTGTCCTGCCGGCAGGTGAGCCAGGACGGGAAGTCACTCCTTGACAAGCTCCAGCGGCCCCTGACTCCCGGCAGCTCCGATTCCCTCACGGCCTCCGCCAACTACTCCAAGGCCGTGCACCACGTTCTCGACGTCATCCATGAGGTGCTGCATCACCAGCGGCAGCTCGAGAACATCTGGCAGCACCGCAAGGTCCGGCTCCACCAGAGGCTGCAGCTGTGCGTTTTCCAGCAGGACGTTCAGCAGGTAGGTCTCGTGGACCCCTGTCCTCGCGGGGGCGCCTTGTGCCGAGCGAGAGTGTAGGTGGGCGTGTCGTCATGGGGGCCTGTCTGTGTTGATGAAAGTAAGCTAGGCCAGACGGGAGAGAGAGACACACACAGACACGCACGCACACACCACACACACGCGTGCACATCTCCTTTCTTGGCATGAGTGAAAGCGGCGCTTCGAGAACGTGTGTTCAGGCTGCTGTCTGCCACGAGCTCATAGGCCTGGAACACAGGAGACGATGCTGCGCCTAACCCGGGGCCCCTGTGTTTTGTTCTTGAAACAGGTCATCCTTAGTTATGTTTATTTGTGAGAATAATGCCTCTGGTGCTTATGCCGAGGTGCTGGTACAGTTGAAGATTTGTCTGCCCTCAGTTGTTTAATGATAAGCTCGTCATGCTTCTCTCCCCGCTTGGCGGATATTGCAGTCCGAGGGGCACAGGGGGGCTTAATAAACAGTCGTCTGATTAATGAAAAACGGGCTTTTCCAGTCATTCATTTCTAAGCAGTTGACATCTTTGTTGTTGTTACAAAAATAAGAGTAAGCCCAGTCCCGATACTATTTATTTCCTTGTTATGAAATACGGAAGATTGTCCTGCTACCAGGGTTTTGAGGATTAATGCTGTGGGAGCTTATGAAATATGATACAGCTTTAGTAATAAATAAGATAAAAGTTGTGTCTTTGCCCTAAAACAGAGGAGAAAGCAAGGGTGTGGATGAGGTGTCAGTCTGGATGAGGAATTCTGGGGGTGCAGGGAAGCCCGTGGCATCCAGGGGAGTTGGCGTGAAGCCACAGTGATGGGTCGGGAACAGAGCCTGTGTCCCCTCCCTGGGTGTCCCAGAGTCCGGGAGCATTGCTTAGACAGGTAGAGGCTCAGATTGTGCTCTGCCGAGTATCACCTGCCGCTGAGGGGGTTGTCTGCCGACGGACGGAGGCGTGGAAGTCGTGCGGTGTCCTGACGACACGTAGGTCCTCCATATGCACTGATCATCATGCTTCTAGTAATGGGAATCTGGTGAGTCCCAGATCCTTTTAACTGCTGTATAATTTTTAATTTTCGCATAGTATGCTTTGATTTTACTGATGGCTTTTGAGTTCTCTGAAGGTTGCACGTACAAAGCGCCATAGGAATAATCATTTTGATACTGTGCATGCGTCTTTACGGTGTTGTTTTTGTTGAAGAAGGTAATTGCCAGGGAAAGAAGATGGAGGAGTCAAGGTGTAGAAGTTACTGTGAGAACTGAAATTGTGAGGTTGAAAGCACCAATATCAGTTTTTCTTAATTGTCCAAAAACTGTCAAAGTGTGGAATGTTAATAGCTTAAATGTAATTATTAAAGGATTTCCCCCCCTACCTCCGTATCCCTTGGATCAACTGTTCATTACGTGTCCATGGGCCAGCACACTTTCTGGACTTGTGTCTGGAGCAGCAGCTGGGCACCCCCTTTTCTCCCCCCAGCTCTCATGGCTCCTTGGGGCGCCCAGTCATATAAGAATAAGCCACTGGGCTGCTCACGTCAGAAGAGGAAGCCTTTGGGAACAGGCTGTTGAGAAAATCATCTAGCTTGGTGCCAGGTACTTACTGTGCTTGAATTCGAAAACAGCAAACATTCATTTTTGCAGGTAGAAAGGTAATTTTGATAATTACGAGGCCAGTTCTTTAAGCTGTTAATTTTTTTTTCTCAAGAGCCAGAACAGGGTTGGATGTCGGCAGGAGAGAGTGTCTTGCAGTCCATGGCACTATTAGCATTCTGAAGAAATGATAATTGCTGTTTAAGGGAAACATTTTGTCGACTAAATGATCCGGAATAGTTTGGACTCATTATGCAAACGGGAAATTGCTCTGTCAGCTTGTGAAGCCAGGAGCGAAAGTTGATAAGATTAAGCAAAGCAAACACTTGGCTTAGGAGGGGTCCTTAGGATGTCAGACTGAAAATGTGTTTCTGAAACTCAAGAAATTAATCACACACAGGGAAAAATTTTGCCATCTTGAGCATAAAGGAGGAAAGGTAAGCTGAGGATAAGTGAGGAAAAGAAAATAGTGCTTTAGAAAGATGTTGTCAGCAGAAGATAAATTTGTAAAGACGAAAACAATCAAACTCCACAGAAACATAATAAGCCAATTAGAGATACCACAAGTGGTTTTTGTTTGGTTGCTTTGGGTCGTGGAAAGGCATCTGTAAATACTGAGGAAAAAGAAAAGCAGCTTACCACAAAAGAGGTAAGGATGATGACATTCTTGTGAAGACAGCCCTCCAAGAAGTGTATATGCTTGTCTGTGGAAAAATACTTGAAAGAAAAGACGTGAGACCATTAATGGCGTGTGCCCTTGAGGAAGGGATGGCATGGGGGATTTCATTTTTAAAACGCGTAACTTTGGTTTAGTGGTTAGTGGTTTTTTTCCATAACAAGCAAAGGCAATTTCGTAATTTCTGGATGGACAGTGTTTTGGACAGGAGTCAGGCGCTGTGGGGTAGGGGGTGTGAAGCTACCGTCCCAGAGCACTGAGCATGGGTCCAAATCAAAGGTTGGGGGGCGCGGGTGGTAGGAACACTTGCTGAAGACTTGCCCAAGCACATGTCCTGCCTACTGGACAGCCTTAACCTTGGTCATCATTAGCTTAAAAATAAAATTAATACCATTTGTCATATTTCTTGGTGGTCAAATAATATACCTATTCCCATTGCCTTTTGTTTACTGTTAGAGCAACCCCCAGTGGACGTTTGGTTGAATTAGTGAATGAAGACTTGTCCTACTGCCAAGCGGTGTTTTCCAGTTTAGGGTATGCTTTAGTTTTCTCTAACAGCATAATTGATCACTGCTGCACTTGTTCAAATGAGATGACAGTTTTGGAAGCAGTCCACAGCAGGATGCCATCAAACCCGTTCTCCTGCTCACTGGTGCAGTCTGCCTGCCTCTTGGGCTGGTGGGATTTAGCTGCTCCAACATGTTGTGTGAGGTGAATGGGCCCCGGAAATCTGCTTTCCTGAAGCAGGCTGACTCCCCCCAAAGAAGCCCCTCAGACAAGGAGCCCTTCTCCTAAAAAAGCCTCTGGCTCCCCCATAGCCCTTCACCCTCGCAGACTTATCTCTTGGAAAAACTCCTTCCAGGTTGGTGTTGGGCCATTAGCTAATATTCTGAAAAAATGGTCAAGAAAATCTAGTCCACTCGAGATTCTTCTCGTCCACACTTCATCCTTTTTTTCAAAATATCTAAAATTGAATGTGTGGTATTCTGAGAGGTACAGAGGTAAATATGTTGACTAGCTCAACCTTCCTTTTCTCAAGGAATTACAGCCTAGTGAGAGTGGATGGTTTAATAGTCTCATAAATTAGCCCGTAACATGCTCAGAGTTGGCGTGTGTGTCTTTGGTTGTCGTGAGGTGTGATTTTGCCCAGGCGTGAGGTTGAGTCATGCCTCTTGAGGTGCTGCCCACATGAGGGAGTGAATAAAACTGGCCTCCCTCATCGGTGTTGTCTGCCTGCCTTGCACATGCCATCTAAGGGGACACGTCTGTGCTGTAATGACTCGTGCAGATCTGGGGGTTCCAGGGAGCCTTGTCCGTATCCCCAAACATCAAGGCTGCAGCTTATGAGGAAGATGAAGACTCCTGTAACAGGGGTGCAAGTCACACTTGCCAGGGTGCCAGGGAAGCCTTCCTGAGAGATGCACGTTTCCGCTGGCCTTTGACGGGTGACTGGAAAGTCAGGAGGTTGAGGATGGTGCACCAGGGCTTGCGGGGATGGTGGAGACACAAAGGGCGGGGCCTGTCCGGAGCAGCAGGGGCCCGGAGTGGACAGCTGGGAGCGTGGAGCCTGAACTGGTGCAGGTCTGGGAGGACGACCTCCGCGATGAAGGCTTGGGAGTTGTTTCTGTGAGCTTTGGGACACATTGAGGGGACATGGCGAGCCTGAGCGCCGTGCATGTTTCCTTCCTCTCTTAGTGCTCTCGGCCAGCCTGTGGCGGAGGGGTTAGTGTTTTCCCATTTCACCACATGGAGTTCAAACCCGCAGGCCGTGTGTTTTGACTTGATGCTGCGACAGTGGATGACAGGGTGACAAGTGTGGCGTGAGAGCGAGATTCCAGGCGAGGAGACAGGCTCGGGCCCCACCACGGACCAAGGTGCAAGTCAGGGGGGAGTCCTGGAGTGCAGAACTTAAGGTCCATGGGGCAGTGGTCTGTGTTTTATTCTCTGGTGTTTCCCAAGCGTCTGGGATAGTAGATGCTCAGTAGTTGCTGAATGAATGAATGAATAAATGAGTAGATGAAGAAATTTAAGGAATTCCCCAATTTTGCTAATTAAAGATTATTTGGAGTTAGTCTCTTTGTTTATTCTGGAATGGGGGAGGGTTGGCCCTACGTTGGAATCAAGTCATCTAACTGGGAGATCTTCGTGAAGGGACCAGGAGCTTTGATTAAGGTTGGGGAGTTAGGGGTGGCTGAGGAAGGAAGGGGTGATTTCATGGCCTGGGAGTTTTGCCAATGTGTGAGATCTTTAAAATATTAAAGATTTTGGCCACTTGAACGTAAAGAAATGGGTTTCAGGTCCACGGAGAAGCTATTTCACAGTTCTGCCTTGGGTCCTAGGCTGCTAGCCATTTGCCAGTAAAAGTCATCCCTCGGTGATGCCTGACCCAGAGGTTCCACCTACACTGGACCTAGCTCTTAAGGGAAGGTTCCGGAACCTCATTTGTCCTTTGCTCATTAATTTAAGTCAGAAGGATGGGGTTTTCTCATCAGGGTCATTATACAGCCCTCACTATGTGATGATTTAACACTGTCTTCTGTTTACATATAAGAATGGTTAGAAAATGGCCATCTTTTCTGAGAGTTTCTCAGTTCGAATTAGGGAGTACTGGAGGGCAAGTGTTTGATTAGGGATTGGGAACCTGCTGGGAGCAGATAGAGGCTAACTGTTGATCTTTCTGGTGGATCTGGAGCCAGCTTTTATTACCTTTTTTTTTTGCGGTACGCGGGC